TGACGCTATGCTCACCTTCCTGGTCTTTTGCATTAACGTGTCAACAAATAGCTAAATAATATATAACATGTCACAACGGTGACAATATCATTTGTATCATTGTTCATAATTTAAGGGATAAACATATGAGTATTTCAAGTTCAAGCATTGGTATTTATATAAATATCTTGTGCATACAAATCAAAAAATCACTCATATATATTGTGTATATATTATAATCTATTTTTTGACATGGGATAATTGTTGCATGATCTATTTTGGGTGTAGAATCTATTTCGGGTGTATTACAAGTATATGATTTAATTTTCCCACCATTTGAGATCGCCTCGTCCAAGATAAACAAATCCGAGATGTTCAAATCCGAGATGTGCAGTTTTCTACCCATTAATTATGTGTCTTGACACTAGCTCCACTATACTCATAATTGAGATGCAATATAGGTGCAGTGAAGATGCGACGTAGATACGACAGATTTTTTTCTTATATAATTCTATGAAAAATAACACATCAGAGTATTTCAGTTGAGTGCTCACACGACGAAATTTTTTGTGATGTGGATTAACGATCAATTACGATTATTAATCGATGAAAGAAAAAATAAAAATACCGAGTATCATAACATTCCCGGTAGTAATAGGGTAGATTTCTGGAATAATATTGCAAATACAATCAATGAACGATTTGAAACCAGCTATATATGATAGCAATGTAAAAATAAATTTCAACATCTTGTAAGAGATCATAACGTAAGTATTTATTTCTTGTAGAGCCCATATATACCAAGGAAATACATTTTGTGATAGCATATATAATATGAAATTTTACCAGTTAATGGGTCGATACATAGCTGGAAGTAGAAGGGGAAAGAGAAATAGAATGGTGAGCGATATTTTGAAGAATTTCGTTCTCGTTTTTGGGAGAGACCGGGTAAGTTCACCGAATATGTTATAATCTACCAATAGCAAATATACTAACTAGTAGAATTACATTACACGTGGAATAAAGAAACACCATTTGACCTAGTGCATAGTGCAAACACATCTACCAGAAGACGGCACCGCAACCGTACCCCACCACCAACTTATGATGGGGTGTCATCAATTCCAAGTATGAGTCACCGTGAATCTACTGCTGATCAAAGAGATCGATCCGCGTCTCCCGCCCGAAGAATTCCTAGTGAAAGGGATGAGAATAGTAATCGAAATAATGTAAATGATGTGGGTGGAGATTCAGGCCGTAACGCGAACGATGTAGGTGGAAATTTAGATAATGCGACATACTCATCTTCTGAGTTGGCAAATATTACCTCAGCCCTTAATATATCTGCATCACGGGATGACGGTGATTTTAGTATGTCCGATGTTGGAGGTAGTCAGCCACCCCCTTATATGAATTCTATAAATTTCGTCTGAAAAATGCCCAATTGCATTAGAGGTGCAAGGGGCTCAACGTTGGCTTCACTGGTATAAAGAAGTTAAAAAACTTGAGGATATTGTTAATCGTGATCGGAAAAAAAAGATGCGTGTGTCAAGACAACGGAATTTTTCGTCTTGAGGTATGGTATGATGAAAAACCAGAAATAGTTATTCCCGAAAGAATACGAAAAATTAAGGAATTCACTAACCAATTAACCAAAAGCTTAGATAATTTATAATATATGCAACTCGGTATCTAAATTATAAATCAGATAGTATAATTTTACATTATGTAATCTACGTTGCCCGATTTCTAACCTACCAACATAACATTTTTATAAACCCGATGCATTTTTTTCACGCCTCATTTATTAATATTTTTTAACTTTAATATACAACTATAATATAAAGGCAGGAGTATGATTCATTTTTTTGTGCTGAGCTCCTATGGTACACATTTATATATTACACGTATATTGATAACAGCGCATATATGGATCTATTTTTTTTTTCGTTAGATGCGCAATGGCCAGAGTCGATCAAAAAATTTATTACAGCACACACCACACTCTTCCACACTAGTAGATATGTAAAAAAAATATATACCCGAATTATGGGCGAAACTTTATCAATAATTATTTTCGAAGCCTGTCACGTCATATGATATAATCTGATCACAAACTACGTGAGTGGGCAGGGCCAAAGCTTGACCAACACATAGTCTACATCACTCTGGATTTATTTTATTTTTCCGATATCAATATGCACTACAAATCAAAATTGTGTGCAACTAAAAATATTTTATTAATAGTTACGCGTTACAGCATGTCTAAATTTGTTTTACATCAGAAATTATAAATTCTTCAATCATACCATTTTCATTGTAAATGACACCATCACAGAAAGATTTCGTCCATATCTTCTGTCGCAAGTGAAATGTCATCATCCGGTAGATGTAACCACTCTCTTAAATTTTCAGAACAATTGTCAGTTGGAATAAAGGAACGGATTTTCCTTTGTAATATTTCTTGTTCCACAAATTCATTTCGAATAACTGTAAAAAAATTAAAAATCTTCATATAACATGTGATGGCATCAAACGAAAATGGAATTATACAAGAGGCCAATTCAACAGCCAAATACTTTCTTTTGTCTGCTAGAGAAACAGCAAACAATGTAAGTCGGTCTCCTATAACCTGAATGCTATAGGTTTTAACATTTTTAGCATCCTCAATGTTGCAATCAAGGTTGTTGCCAAGGAGTCGACATAGACTGCAGATAGCCATTACTAATAGTTTTTTTACGTCACCAACAGTATGTTTTTTTGTGGATCTATACGGAGGTCCAGAAACTTCAACATTCAAAAGTTCTCTTGCGTCAGATAACCTGAGAATGAGTAAATCTGTCTTTCGTTCTCCAATATTACCCATAAACATAACGTTTGCTTCTTTGATTGATCTCACATCCTTCTCTACCCACATATACTTTACATCAGGAAACGCTTTGCGAAATGCGAGGAGAATTGGTGACAGGACTTCGATGATATAAGATCGTTCTAGCATGTCGCGGTCCATGACTTTTGGCATCAAAAACTTAAACTTTGAGACAAAGTCTGGTAATGCATATCGTATGAAGAATATAAACCTATCCTCATCCGTTGTTTGATTATCGTCAATCTTTGTCTCTGAAATTATTTCGATTCGACTTCAGAATATTCTGATTGAAATATTTTTTGAGCTTTTCTACTATTGAATCTTTCATGACCAATTTGTTCCCCATTTGAAGTATAGTTTTAACTTTTTCATAGTCTTGTTCTCCAATTGTTTTCTTGACAAGATGTATCGTTGTATTAAAAACACAAATTATATGTGCAGAATATTCATCATATGTTGCTTTCGTAATAATGGGCTTATTAGGCGTCACCATTAAAGTACGTGTGACTGAACGAGTTGTCGGACATGGTGTGCTTTCTACATCCTCTAAATCTGATAAACCTGGACTTGAGAATTCAGTGTAACAAATCTTTTTTGTTTTCCTGAGTGCCATCCCATTCAAAGGCTCTCCTTCCTAATGGAAATCATACATTCGTGGTAAGAAGACATTTTTGTTGTGGGGTATACAATGGAAAAATATAACTACCTTATTTTCTGGTGTTTGTGGCTCTTGTCCACGTTGACGTTTACGTGGTGCTAGTTCATCGATTTCTTCGGTGACTAAGTTAATAGCAGAAACCATGGTTCGTTGATGTTGGATAATTTTTTTCTGTTGAATTTCAGCGTTGTTAGATGAAATCATCTCATCGTCACGTTTACGCTGAATGGCTTTTTTTGCGAGCTCAAGCCAGTGTTGTTTTTCGGGTCCCTTCCATTTTGAAAGTAACGTGGAGGCGTATTTAGAGACACTGTTTGGCCAATCCGAAACCTGATTTGATAACGAACTCAAGCTCCGGCAACAGATTGCGAAACAATCATTTTCTGATAACCCTGGATTATTCTCCAGTAACTTGGTGACATAAGAATCTATGTTATGCCACTCTTTCATTGGTCTTGAAGTGACATAGTCATCATGCAAACGATCTTTTGGTGCAATGAAATCCTTTTCTTTCATAACACGTTGCAATTAAATGAAATTTCAGTAGTCAGTACGGACGCGTACTACGCGTATCAAATCTATTATATCCACGCACGTGATTAGTAATGCAAATGTGGACTGTATCACAAGGAGATGCAGTTAAAAGTTGGTTTGAAACAAAAGCCAAAAAATTTAGGTATCAGATATAATATATTAATATGGGTCAAACGACTGCTCGGCAACCTCGCTACATAGCCCTTTTATCGAGAGACACCGTAACTTTTGTATCTTGAGGGCTTTTGCTTGCTTGATAACCTCCTCTCTTGAAGTGGTTGTGGTTGCGATGTCTTTCACACTTTCCCTACGCCAACAGACCCGGTATAGACCCGCTCCAAGGCTTATGGACTTGCGACTCTGGGAGGTGTATCGATAAAAGGAGATTGATGAGGGACACCGTAACTTTTGTATCTTGAGGGCTTTTGCTTGCTTGATAACCTCCACTCTTGAATTGGTTGTGGTTGCGATGTCTTTCACACTTTCCCTATGCCAACGGACCCGGTGTAGACCCATTCCGAGGCTTATGGACTTGCGACTCCGGGAGGTGTATCGTCATTCGTCTGCTGTAGCTAACAAAAGCAGAAGCCTATTCACACACACATTCGCGTTCCACGAAAATTAAAACATCACGAGAATTAATTTTTATGATTTCCGAGATAAGTTTATCATTAATTTCGGCTCTGATTTTGCCGATTTCTGCAGTAATATTGGACAATCTTTTTTGGGCAGATTAAAGGTTCCAGGCTGTCAATGCGTGAGACGGCAAAAGTAGTTCGTTGTGATGAAAAAACAGTGCGTTATTGAGCTTTTGCACGGCGTGGTACAAAAAGAAACATGTACCAACGATCCCCATACACAGAGGAGCGTGATCGGGGAATATCATCACGAGGAAGAAAAACAAAGAAGCCGTCAATGCCATAAAATGGATATTCTCTGAAATGTTGAATGAATACATCTACGCAAAGAAAACCCGATTAGAAAATTAATCGTGGGGAACGCACGGCCATTTTAATAATTCAAATAAAGCTAAGTGAAAATAAGTTCTGTGATGAATTCGATAGTTTTATTTCAAAAGACGACTGCGAAATTTTATTAATTGTATTGTTTCGCTTTATTGATTTTAAATTTCCAGAAGGGTTAAGATGACGAAAAAAATCAAATCTTTTATAGGAATCATTTCACGTAAAGGCGGAAACTACCAGAAACAATCAAAGACTGGAAGCTACCAGAAACAATTTTGATTTAATTTGATCGTAATCGTAGTCATAAAATACAAACATATTTTGATAATAAAGAGCGAGTTTTAGCACCTGGTGCTTCGCTAAATATGGTTAATTGCAACTTTATTTATAGTTTGAATTCGTCAGCACCATATATTTGTGATCAATTATACCAAAAGAATCTTTATTCTATCAATTTATCCGAAATAATATCCATTCTTAATCAATGCACGATCAACTAATACCACGTTATCTCAAACACATGCTTCGATCACGGGTAATAGAACGTGTTACGTAATGCGTAAAAAAATCTGATTATCTGGCCCTATAGGGGCGTCTCTTTGAGGCATGTCGCGGTTATATATGCGATCAAACATAACTTATCTTTGCATTAGTCGTCATCTCGCACCAGCTTACCCAATTCTCAAGTTATACATGCCGATTAATCAAACTCGGTAATTAATTTTTCTTTTTACTTTACGTTGTTTTCGCTCAGTAGAACGCTTCTTTGCTACTGTAGTCTCAATGACATGTATAACCTCTAATCCTGAACTGATCGAAGAAGTATCTGAATCAGAAGAAGTGTTCGAATCAGAGGTTGTATCAGAGTCAGAAGTTATATACATCATTAATTATTTTATCAACGGATACTATAACCCTTCTTTCTTTCTTAGTTTTAAGATCCTTGATATGTAGAGTTGTTCTGATCCAAGCATTTTCTGCATCTGTCACTTTCCGGTAAATATTCCCGAAGCTCATCATTATCATACTTGCACCCATAGAACCAATTATTACTGAGCAGAATATGATTGGGTATTTCGGAATTATATTTTATCACAAGTACTTCAGTTAGAATTGTGATTTTTTATATTAGATGCAAAGATAAGTGGAATTATGGCCCATCCAATCAGGTGTGTAGTCATTTCTCCAAAGAATCTGCTATCTTTTTCTTCAGGAGTTATTTTTCTGCTAATTTTACCATCAATTTTCTTGAGGAGCTTATTAATATATATAGCTGAGCTCAGGAAGTCTGGTTCAAGGTAACAATTAATTTTTCGCAATCCTATTTTAGCTTTGGTTATTTTCATGGTAAATTATATTATACTGTTACAGTAGTAACATAAAAATTACAAATTCAAAAATAATTGAAAAACATAAAAATTCTAAAAATATTAACATAATAATAAAATTTTCTAGTATTATTTCACTTTTTATTATTTCACTTTTTTGAAATTTCACTTTTTATTTTTCACTTTTATATATATTTTTTCACTTTTATTATTTTACTTTTATTATTTCACTTTTTAGAAATTTCACTTTTATTTTTCACTTTTATATATATTATTTCACTTTTCATTTTTTTCACTTTTATTATTTCACTTTTTAGAAATTTCACTTTTTATTTTTTATTTTTATATATATTATTTCACTTTTTATTATTTAACTTTTCATTTTTCCACTTTTATTATTTCACTTTTTTGAAATTTCACTTTTTACTTTTCACTTTTATATAAGTTATTTCACTTTTATAATTAGTTATTTCACTTTTATATATTTTTATAATTATTCATTTTACTTTTTGTAATTTCAAAAAATGTATAAATAAAAATGCTGTTTGAGCCTTAACTTGACATGTTGTAACTGAAAATAAAAATCTCTCTTAACAAAAACCTTTCTTCAAATATTTCTCATCTCTTATATTTTCTTTATACACTTCAAATCTTATGTATAAGTGATCTTATATTATATTGAACCTATCAAATTACTGATAGCTTTATATTATATTGTGTCAAGCAAATCACTGTTATTAACTTTGGGCTTTATATTGTATTGTGCTAAACAAATCACTATTATTGGATTATTAAGCTTTATATCGTATTGTGCTAAACAAATCACTATATTGGAATTATTAAAATTGGATTATAAGTATTTTTACTTTTTGTTATTTGAATTTTTAATTGTTAATGAATATTCCTCACTCATGAGAAGAACAAAGTGAAAGAGTTTTTGTTATTGTTATTACTAATTATATTATCTTAGTTCTAGAAAGCTTTATACAAATATAGAATTATCTTTAAAATTCTTTTTATTATTTTTTATACTCTCTCTTCCCTTTGATCTTTACTCTTTCACAACTCTTCTATATTTTTATTTCTTTTCAAGTAAATAAAATTTCTGTAAAAATTGATATAGATTTTAGATATCCCTCTCTTCTTTTAATATTTTTTTTATTAGTTTATATTCTCTTCCAATCCAGATTCTTGTTTGTAAGCTAATTTCACGATTAGTGAACAAACTTGTAATATTTTGATGCTTTCTCTGTGAATTATTATTTCAAAGATCCTCTTTTAATACTTAAATTCTCTTTATAAATAATTATTATAACTTTATTAGAGAATTTATTAATTCACATTTCAACACTTATCTTGAAGCTCAATATTAAAATACAATATTTTGAATAACTATTATATTTGTTTTTTCACCTTCTGATACAACAATCAAATCTTTAGCTAACTTTTTCACTTGGATTCAAGAATGAGATACAATATCTGAATCCTTTATTATTGAACAACTATTTGAAGATATCTATAAAGCAAATCTTATTATTATTGAAACTGAAGAATTGTGAAGACAAGTAATCTGATTATTAAATATTCTAATTTACCAGAACAAATATATACTTGATCACCAACTATTATTAGTTAAAAGAACACTTGAAGGCTTTCATAATCTAGAATTTGAAAAAGCTTTCAATACATCTAATGATTATTATTCTGAAACTGCCAGCAATATCAAAATAATAGAAGATCAACAAATAATTATTGAAGAAGTAGAAAAAGAACCAGCAAAAGAACAACAAGACATCAATGTTCAAGAATAACTAATTATACAAATCAATATTGAAGAAGAACTGGATATTTCTGATCAAGAACAATCATCAGAAAAAGAATTAAACTCTGAACTAGAAAAAGTAATCAAAAAATTAGATAATGAAGAAATGGCCAGTATAGAAAATGTTCTTAATGAACTAAATGCTTTTATTGCTGCTCTCACTATTAGACTAAAAACTAAAAAGAATCATATTCCAATTCACAAATTCAAGGGTGATGATCAAGATCCTATTGAATAGCTTAGAAATTTTGAAGTTATTGCTATTACCAATGAAGTCACTGATGCTCGCAAAATTCAAATAGTATATGAATACTTGGAAGATGCTGCTGCTACTTGATTTGCTCAAAAAGCTATCAATAATACTTTTACCTTAACTGATTGAACAAATATTAAAAATAATGAACATGATTTCAAATATTGCTTTGTTTTAAAATTCTGCACTTTTTGCAAAATTGAACAATAGCAAAATGAACTTGAGACTCTTTAACAAACTGAAAGTATTGACAAATATACTAATTAATTCAATACTCTTTTGAAGAAAGTGAATTCTACCAATGCTATCCAGATGATTATAAAATCAAAATCTATAAGTGAGATCTAAAACTAGAAATTTGCAAATGGGTTAGAATAAATGCTAATAGAACATTATCAAACATTATTCATGTGACTAAAACTGTTGAAAAAACCAATTCAGAAGAACCAACTATCATATATCATCAAACCCAAAGCAAACCAACACCTGATCTTATTCAGCTTATAACAATACTTCAGAATTTGACCAGTAGGTTAGATAGTCTAGAAGCACCAAAAAAACCTGCTTTCCAACCAAGAAGCAATGATTGAAACTATTCTTATAACAATAATTATTAGTCACCAATTTGTTACAACTGCAATAAGATTGGATATTTATCAAAAAATTGTAACAATTCTTACAATACCATCTCTTATCATCAAAATATTATCAGAAATCAATTAAATTGGAATAATTAAAATAATTAATCAAATAATAATGATAACAATTCAACAAGAAATAACTCTTCTTCTTCTAGATCAACACTAATGAATGCTAATAATGCCAACCAGATCTAAGGTTGCTTGCCGAAATCTCTTAGTGACTGCTGAAATTCTATCAAAATTATAATAAACTATTAGTAAATAGCCTGTCAAAATTCTGACGAGTTTTGTAACTCATCATAACTGAAATTATGCTGAAATTCTAATTAATAATTAGTGTATAACCTGTTGAAATTATGATAATATTTTTCTGAAAGAATTTAGGCAAGCATCCTTAACCAGATTAATCTTCTATTTTAAATTCAACCCTTGTTAGCAGTATTACAAGTATTAACTCCTGATCAACAAACAGATGTAACCAACTCTACCAACTTAACATTACTTACTACTCATGATTATTTAGCTGGTAACAGAAAAAGAATTAAATTGGATGAATTTAAAATCACTATTAATAAAGATACGATTATGACTGAACCAAGTAATCTAATTATTTCAAATGTATTATTTTTAGAAATTCAAGTTAAATAACCATCAATTCCAATTATCAGAATAATTGCACCCAAGAAAGATATCAGAAAGAAGAAAGGCAAAGCTATTTAACCTATTCTGGCTGCCTGATCTATTCTATATAATATATTGGATGATCTGATAACTAGTAAATCCAATATAATTTTTGGACAACTAATTCGAATTTCACTAGAACAATAACTCAAAATATCAAAAGTCATGAGAAGATCCATCCAATCCAAGAGAAAAATCATCAGAAAAGCTATTAGAATGATTAGACAGAAAATTAGAACTACTTCAACCTGATGTAAAGTCAAAGTTGAAACTGTTCCCATTAATTTCATTATTGATACTAAAACATCTGATTGTATTGCTAGTCATGACTTTCTCAAGAAATATGAAATCAAAATTCAATGCAAATTCAATATTACAATGTCTGATATTAATGATGAATCTAAATAACCTCTTGGAGCAATCAACAATTTTCCAATCACAATTACTGGAATCATAATTTCTGCTGACATTGTTATAATGCATCACTAATAGTAGATTATTTTGTGTTAATGATTATATTAGTGAGATCTAATTACTCTTTGAATTCTAACTGGATCTTCTTTGTATTATTTCTTTATAATGAAGTTCATTACTCTTCGGGATTGAACCAGTGTCACGAGTCCTGGGCTCAGATAGATAATCTCATGATGTAGGTATTCAATTAATATTTATTTTAATAACTCAGTAATTCGATCCAGTTGCTTTAGGATTGCGGCGCAGTGTGGCTTCTTCTATTCTATTAGTCTAGAATAGGTAACACTATTACTAATAAATATCTTCTTTATATTTACTTAGTGTGGTAACAGTTCTATAGCAATACAGTACTGATATTCTATAGCAACCTGGTTGAGTGTCCAGTAGTGTATAAAGTAAGTGTTATAACAAGATTAATAATTATGAAAATTAATTAATGTACAATTTCATTAAACAATAAACAAGAAGAAGTTTATTGACTAGTTAGATTTTGTATTGATTAATTGATACCTTTTAGTTTATTCAAAAAATTCTTTATTTATATAAAATATTTTTATAATTAAGTTATTACAATATAAGATATGTTATACATATTAAATAAATATGATATAGCAAATAATGTTAATATGTCTAAGAACTCTGCTATCTCTATAATTTATGTTTTATCACATGACTAAAATTAAGA